TAGTAAATATTTTTATCTATTTTTTTATATCTTTGATTGAGGTTGAATTTGAAGTTTTTTTTGTAATTAATGTTTATTTGATTATCTCATTAATTTATCTATGATTTATACTACTAAATTGATTATCCTATATTAATAAATATTTAAAACTTGAATTAAGATAATATCAGTCATCAGTGTTTCGTCATCGTTATTGTAATATCTCGATATTATTGAATTATATATTTTTTAAGTTCAATAATTATTTATTTAAAATTTTAAATATTTATTTAAATTATAGAAAAGTGCGTTTAAGTTAATTAAGTATATACATTAAATGATGATTCGATTTAGAATTGAAAATTAAAAAGTGATTTGAAATTTTAGGATTAAATTGTAAAGATGACAAAAGAATAAGTTTTATATGATTAGTTTACCAAATGCTGATTTGGATCATAATTTCTTTAAGTATTTATGAACCCAACCTTAAATTTTAAGAGCTCATAGCTTAATATATCAATTGGTGCCATCCATTTTTTATTTCTAAGGCTTGGTAAAGATTCCTAAACCCTAAATGAAGGATTTGGATCCATTCACGTTTATTTTAAGTTTTGATTCTAATTTTGTTTATTGACATTTGTTTTGTGATATAATATTTTGAAAGAATAAGATTCGGTTGAGACCTCAAGGAGAAGCAAGGGGAAAATCAGGGTTCGCTTGTAACATTCATCTGTTTCAGCCTTCTTCAGGTTCTTTCTTTCCGTAATTTTAATAAAGTATACGCTTTTCAATTATGTACGTATATTAGCTGTGAATATAGCTTTTGAATGTACATTGTTTTCTTCCTTTCTTCTTCTTTATAAACCCTTTTTGCATAACCAAATTGTTATTGTATCTGCCTTTACCTTTAATCTCATTTAATTTTGTGCAATGTTTCTTGAATCATTGAGCAAATCATACGAGTTTTCCTCTTTGTGTTATTCTGTAGCAGGGATGTACAGGGAAATTACACTGATCTTGTTGATTGGTTTGGTGGCATGGGCATATCAGGCCATTCAACCTCCACCTCCCAAAATCTGTGGAACTCCAGATGGCCTTCCTATCACAGCCGATAGAATAAAACTTAGGGATGGAAGGTATTTGGCCTACAAAGAGCATGGTGTATCAAAAGAAAAGGCAAAGCATAAGCTCATCTTTTTTCACGGGTTCTCTGGTTCTAGACTTACTGAACCCCTTGTCACAAGGCTATCCCCGGTACTTTTTGTCTTGTTTCATTCGTTTAGCATAGCTGGATTCTATCATTTGGCTGATGCAAATTCTGGGTTTCATCATTTTAGGAAGTTGTTGAAGAGCTAGGTGTATACCGTGTGTCGCTTGATAGACCGGGGTACGGAGAAAGTGATCCTCACCCGAATCAAACATTGAAGAGCTTGGCCCTTGATATTGAAGAGCTTGCTGATCAGTTGGGACTTGGATCCAAATTTTATGTGGTACGATATTCTATGGGAGGCCATGCTGTCTGGAGCTGCCTCAAATATACCTCATAGGTAAAATCCATTTGAGGGAGTGAGTGTTCGATACTGGTATGTGTCGACTTTGAGAGCGACTGATACTAGCTAATACGTACCTGGCAGATATTCATATCTCAATATCTATTTGTTGGGCATGAATATTTACAATGAATCAGGAAAACATATTCGATAGTTATAATGCAGAGAGTTTTCTTTTACAGCATTTAATTTGACTTTGTGACAGTGGTTTTTAGGCTAGCAGGAGCAGCACTAATGGCACCTGTTATCAACTATTGGTGGCCTGGCTTGCCTGCAAATTTATCTAAAGAAGCTTACAGTCTGCAGCTTCCTCAAGATCAATGGGCCTTACGCGTTGCTCACTATATGCCATTTTTAGTCTTTTGGTGGAACACTCAGAAGCTTTTTCCTGCATCTAGTGTCATTTCTCGTAGACCTGAAAATTACTCCCTCAAGATCTCCAAATTCAAAAAAAAATGCTCAGAGACAGAATCACAAGGTAGTTTACCTTTCTTTTCCCCTTTCTCATTTCTTGGCATATAGCTTTATTTCTATCTGTGAAGACGAGGAAGATACTCCTAAAGCTTTACCACTTGATCTTGTTGTATGCAGGAATGGGCCACGTGGCAACTCAGCAAGGTGTATTTGAGTCATTACATCGTGACATGAGGATCGGCTTCGGGAAGTGGGAATTCGATCCCCTTGATCTTGACAACCCTTTTCCGAACAACGAGGGCAGTGTTCACCTTTGGATGGGGGATGAAGATCGGTTGGTGCCAGTTATCCATCAACGCTACATTGCCAAAGACTTCCATGGATTAAGTACCATGAGGTAGCTGGTGCTGGCCATTTGTTTGCGTATGTGATGGGATGGGTGAAGCTATCGTAAGGGGGCTTTGGATGGACACAAGTAGTGTTTTTTTAATATTTTTAAAGTTCACAAGCTGTTGAATAACATATGCAATCAATATAATTACACCCACAGCTTAACTTCCCAGAAATTGCAGAGTCTACTATTGTTGTTTTATTTAATGAAATAAATTTTGCTTCATTTTGTTCCAACTTCCTGATTTATAGACAATACAGTTAACACAAGTGCTTTTTCGTATTTGGGTTGGGTTGCACCCATTTAGGTTTGATCATTTAAGGTTAAAGTATATTCCAAGTCATTGTATTGTATCAAAAAGTAAACTGATATCTAAAAATTTCTAACTGAATATGGAAGCAAAGGAAGAATAATAAAAATCAAGTGAACAATACATTAATCATAATCCAGTAATAAAATGTAAAAGCTAACAACATCAAACAGAATGGTCAAACTTTTTTTTCGTTTTCTTTATTCCCCATAGATCTTCTCACTATATTTTTTTTTATTTTCAGATGGATTCTTGACTGATGTCATTTTGTTTCTTGCACATTAATATTACATCCATAGTGTCACGCCCTAGAGTTTCGGTCTAACGAGACGTGCAACCTTTGACACTTTGAGACGCTTCTTGGTTGATTGTGCGTCTAAGTCTTAAAACCATGCATTGTAAGAACTCACCAAAGGTTGGATCAAGCCCTCAAGGCTTTAAAGGATGCAGAAACTTTAACACCAGCGTGACGACTCAAGCCACCAAGATTAGACAGTAGTTTGAAAGTCCAAACACTATCGTGGCTACTCTAGCCACCAAGCACAAAGAGAACTAAAAATAAAAGAACAAAGGGATATAATAAATGCCTCATAGCTTATTAATCTCTCAAGGGAATGAATAGAATGAGATGATACAAATCATAAGGGAAGCTCTCTATTTATAGTGAGCTCCCACTCAACCAATGATCTAGATCTATTTACATCAACGGCTAAGATAAACTCAAATCATACAAAATCCCCTAATCTAATGAAGCCAAACTCAATCCAATCTAATAACATCAATTAGTAAGAAATTTTCATTGGATAGGTTTTCACACTAGATATGGAAAAATCTTTCTAAAATGTTTCCTAATATGATACCACATTCCTTATCTGCAAGGCCAATGTAAACAGGTTCCATAGCATTTGATGTGCCAAGTTCGGTACTCCACAGAATCTCTTTAGTGGACACCTGCGACAATAGTCACATCTATAATATAGTATATTTATTAGTTTTGGGATTTATTGCTTTTAGTTGCTCTCTTTGCATTCAAGTAAGTTCTTGATCACTCTCTTCGTTTCTTTATCTTCTCATAAATCTTGCCACTTTTATTTTATTATTTCAGATATGTTCTTGAGTGATGTCAATTTGTTTCTTGCACATTAATGCCATCTCCATAGCCACATCTCTAATACAGTATATTCATTAGTTTTGTGATTTATTGCTTTCAGTTGTTCTCTTTGAATTCAAGTTTTTGATCACTTTATTTTGTTTTCTTTATTTCCTAATAAATATTCTCACTTTTTTCTCCAGATAGGTTCATGAGTGATGTCAATTTGTTTCTTGCACATTAATACTATTTCCATAATCACATCTCTAATATAATATATTTATTAATTTTGGGATTTATTGCTTTTCATTCGTTCTCTTTGCATTCAAGTAAGTTCTTGATCACTGTCTTTCGTTTTCTTTATTTTATTCCCTAATATATCTTCTCATTAATTAATACTAATTAATTTGAATTTTATTTGTATTAAATTTATTTATATATTCTATGCAATTAAATTATAATAATTAATATAGTTTTAAGTATTTTTAATTGCAGTCAATATGTGGACCAACTGTTCATATACATCATGTAAAATTATATAAAGAATCCGCCCCTCTTAAATTTATTCCTAGTTGGTATGAGGTGAATTCTACGGCCACATCGATAGATGAGTGAATATATAAATCAATCTTTAATTGAATGCATAATTTAAAAATAATAAAATATTAAATACAATTATAATGGACCAGATGAAAACAACATAAAAAAATTTATTTATTTTGAATTATGATAATACATAATATTAAATGAATAGATACATGACATAACTACAGTATATCAAAATAAAACAATACATAAATAAATGACAAACTGCAAAATATAAAAGCAATTTGAATGCATGAAGCCAAACTGCAGAAATTCCTTCAAAAAAAACTAAAGGGAAATGCGCCATCTGTTTTTTCAAATTATTGTAATACATATAGAAGTGAGATTCATGAGCAAAAAACCTGAAAACCCGACTGCCTATCAAAAATTCATATAATAGTAAATATCCTAACCTCGTTTCATCATCAAGCACCAGTAATCGTCGGTTTACGACCGCTTCCTACAGCAAACATACACCGCAGCAGCCGCTACAACAATGACACCGGCCGTTCCTGCTGCCACAAGCGATGGCACGCTCAGCCCTTTCCCTTTACTCCCAGTAGTCCCTACGATCTCCCTTGACTTGTCATTGATGAACTCGGCGGTCTTCTTCTCCACCTCCTCCGTCAATTCCAGTAACTTTATTTGCAACCCCGTGGCCTTCTCCTCGGATTCTCGTTGTCCTTTCCTAGTTGTCTCGAGTTCAACCCTCGTTCTCGCCAACTCTGCTTCGAGCTCCATGACTTTACCTTTCAATCCATCTACCTTGTCCCTGATTTCCTCTTCGGTCCTAACTCTCTTGCTCCACTCCTCCGTTTCCCTTACTTCTGAAATCCCCAATTTCCTCTCTAGCTCCCTCTCCCTCTGCCCCCCTTCAACTTTATCTTTTTCAATTCGGTGATTTCCCTGTCCAATCTCTTGATCAACAACCTTTTCTCTTCCAATTCCCCCTTTAACTGAATCAACTCCTTGTTCGCTTCTTTGACTTCACTCATCGAAGTTATCAGATCATGTTGAAGCTTGGCGACCTCGGTTTCAAGAATAGCCGATCTCGCGGTGACTGATTCCAGAATCCTCTTATCTTCGTCCCACCGATCCATTTCTAGCTTCATCTCTGCTTCCTTGTTTCGTAATCGATCGAATTCCATGGTCACTTTCATGATCCGCTCCTTCAAATCATTGTTCTCGTTGCTCAAGTCCAGCTTTTGACTTTCAAGTCTTTTAATTTTGGTATCCGGTTGGGTTAGCTTGGTTTCATCGGTATCGTAGAAATTATCCGCAGTCTGATCCTCCGCTTCGCCATCGACGACCTCTGGTTCATGCATTTGCTTTGATCGCTGTTTGGCTGCGAAGAAAATCACAGAACAAAAGTTAAAAGTTTGGAAGGAGGAAAGGAAACCCTTTCCTTTTGTGTGTGTGGTAAAGGAGAGAATGAAAGAAGTTTCTTTATTTAGTGTCATATAGCAAAAAGTAAGAATAATCCTTGAAAATGTGAGGAAAAGATGAGAAAAAGAGAGAGCAAAAGAAGTGTCACCTCTGTTTTCCTGATGATTCGATTAGGGTTTTTCGTTGCACTTGGGAACTCCCCCAATGATCCCTCTGGACGTTGTGCCCTCCTCGATGAGGCTCAACAATTGTGGAGAACGAAAAGAGCCACCAAAGTGACAACCACCTTGCCGTTGTATCGTCAAAATAATAATTGGAAAACTACACATTTAGTATATAAACTATTATTTTTATTCTATTTTGGTACCTAAACTTTATTTTTTTTCAAAATCATACGTAATATTTAGTTTATATTTCAATTTAATATCACACTGTTAAAAAATTAATAGAATTACTAGCGTTATTTTTTTTTATTTTTTCATTGATGATGTGATATTACCTTATGATGACACATTAACATTGTTGTCTATTTTTTAACAGCAAGGTACAAAAATAAAACTTAAACTAAACGTAAGGTGTAATGTTTTTAAAAAATAAATTTTGAGTACCAAATTAAAACAAAAATAATTATTTAGGCAGTATTAAACTTATAGTTTACCCATAATAATACCATGTCACATTAACAAGTGAGTTTATATGTCGAGTCAAACTTAATTTACACATAAACTTAGTTTCCCGATGTTTTTCCTGAAGAGTTGTCTGGGTTACCGTCGGATAGAGAAGTTGAGTTTGAGATTGAAGTCTATTCTGGTTCTACCCCGGTTTCAATGACTCCTTATCATATGGCCCCAAAAGAGCTTAAGGAACTGAAAGTTCAACTCCATGAGTTATTGGATAGGGGATTTATTCGACCTAGTGTATCACCGTGGGGAGTCCCATATCTCTTTGTCATTGGGGGGTATTGGAGGGTTTTTAACTGTGAGCATGTTCAGTTTCCTATAATGAATACAGAGTTTCAATGTCCCATATATACTTCTTCCAACAATACCCTCAATGACCATGAATGTATTCAATTGAAAAAAGATATTAATCATTTAAAACATGAAAATGTTTCATGCTTGGAAATCATATAAAAAAATACAGAAATCAGAAATCAAATTAGTAACATAAGGTAAATCATATGTCGGATAAGCAATATTCAGAAATCAGGTATACAAATATATTGAAACCAGAAATCATATCAGAAGTGTGCAGTAAATCAGATATCAAATAAACAGTATTTAGATAGATATTTTAAAACAATAAAGTAACACCGTCAGCAAACACACCTGTAACAGTCTGAGTAATCGGATAGGGAAGCCTACTACTGAGTCTGTCGACCACGATCTGCGACAGCGCTAGATCCTACGAAATGGAAAAATCCATATTGGAATCCTAATATGAATAATCTTAACATTTATTTAAATAATTAACGGAAACCTACGAGTAATTCTCGTAGAACGCGGATCAGGCGGATCTGACGAACGGAAAACACCAGACCTAACTGACCTTCGTTCAGGTGAAACACGAGTACCTTCATAAAAATATCTTATTGGATCAATTCCATAATTGTATCTCAAATAAATAATAAAAAATGCTAAAAATACTAAGTATTTTTGGGTTAACGAGCTCAATTCGGGGCTTTCAGATCAAAATTTGGCAAACGGACTTCGGAATCGTACTCAGGACGACGAAAAACATAAAATATGATTTTTTGAAAATTTTGACTTTTTTTTATCAAAGTTAACGATCAAAATCAACGGTCAACGGGTCAATGGGTCGGATCGGGTCGGGTCAAACTGGTTTCAAAGCTGTTCACACGCGGCAGACACTCCCCACGCGCAAGGGCGAGCGCGGTGTCCTGGGAGTCCCAAAAAAATCCAGAAAAATTTTTAAAATTATTTTATGGGATTTTGAGACATTTACCAAACTCGATTCAAAATTTTGAACGGCGGAGAGCTCGATTTCAAAACGTCGAAAATTTTAACTTCCTCACCTCCCTCACTCGCCGGCGACGACGGAGACAAGAAGGACACCGGTGGACTCAGAACGATACAAGAAACACGATAGTACGAGAGGTGTCGAAAATAGAGTAGCGATCGACGATTTTCAAGAAGGTGGTGTTAAAAAAACTTTGAACTTTGAATCGAAATTCACGGCGTTAGATAACATTTCGCGATGAGCGGTTTACGGGATTTTGTTCACCGGTCGACAATGAACACGATAATAGTTTCGGATCGACTGACGGTGATCGAACTGCGACGGGATCGGCCTTTAAAAGAGGGTTGGTGGAGAGGAAAATTTGGAAATTTTGTTGGTTTGGCACCTGAAACCAAACGTTAACGCATTTAATGGAATTGTCTGCCGACATAAATTGATTAAATTCAGGGTTAGGTCTCTAAATTTCATTCAATTGTTAAAATAGCCTATAAGTTTTAGAAAATTTTAATTTAGCCCTCAAATTTCACCAAATTGTTTATTTATTATTATTTTTTCAAGTTGTGACATTTCGCGACACAAATAATTGTGATGGCGAGCAAGATTTGTGCTTTAAGAATTGTGTTGATCCCTGTTAAAGGGCATGTACTATTTCGTGTACTCAACGCTGTTACGAGAACCTCAAATATGTTTATTTTGTTGATATTGTTATTATTAGAATATTTAATATATATATTCAACCGTGTTTAAACTATTATATTTTGATTTAAGAGTTTAGTCATAAAATATTTGTATCTAATTATATATATATATTATTAGCAAATTATTAATCCAAAAAATAAAATTGAATTTCCTTCTCAATTAATTATAATCTTCCTCCATGATTCAAGTAATTCATACACACTGATTGCTACCAGATATCTTTAAAGAACTAGAAAGAACGATTACAGTAGCAAAATGAAAATTTATGAATTAGATAACTGAAAAGAGATGAAGACAAGTGCCGAGACAACACATGGAGGAACGATGTAGAGCCTTAAGCAAAAAGGAGGGGAAGAGCCAAAAATAAATCCTAATTTAAGGAACAAATTGAAAATAAGTTTTAAAATAGGCATATATATATATAAAACTCAAATTCCGACGTCCTCCGATTATCTTGTTTGAACTTTTTCTTAATTTGATTTTTACACTAAAGTTGTAGCCATTACTGTTTTAACCATAGATTATCATTACATTTAAATTAACTTATTAAAAATTATAAATAAAAATTTACTTTGACTTCTTAAAAATTATAAATGAAAATTACTTTTAGGATATCCATTCTCCGATATTTAAGTTTGGCCATTAGATCGGCTCAAAAACATCAATACGGCTTATACATGAAATAAATTGCAAGTATGTGTACAATATATAAAACTGTATTTGATATGTTAAAAATTCATATCAACATTATTTTGACTATTTTTTTAATATGTCATATCCAAGTTATTTATATAATAATATATGTATTTACAATTTTCACATCCTTAAATATGCATCACGTTAGATCTAAGATGATATCTAATATTTGAACTAATAACTAAGTTGATTAAATGACCTACTGGTACGATAATGATAATTAAAAATCAAATTAGAACTATTTAAAATTTGACTCATAGTACGTGAAATTAACCCTAATTCCCATAAAAGTATTTTTAGAAAGGTTTAATACATAGTTTGACCCTTTTATTATAGTGAAATTCTCATTTTAGGTAATTTATTATTTTCAATCGATCGGTCTTGTGAATTTCCATTTTATATATCACGTTAGGCCAATTACATTTTGCCACGTGTAATAAAACTGAAAATTTCAAAAAATAAAATTCAATTAAAAATTTAGAAACTCCTAAAAATCCAACATTTATTAAAAAGAATTTGATTTTTAATATATTTTCAATGTTTCTTAGTTTTTAGTTGTTTTCAATAAATTAAGCATAATTATAATAGTACAAAATTTAGTATAGGTGGTAATGTGACAATTATTTAACAGAAATGGTGAAGTGGCTAACCTATTAGACGAAAGTTAAACCGACAGAAAATAATAGTAAAATAGATAAAGCGAGAGTAGAATGGCTAAAATAATAATTAACCCATTGAGAGATAGCCATGGGAGGTTCGGATATATTTGGCAGCGTAAAGTAACTTGGTTTTTGGCGCTTGTACTAAAAAAGGGGGGGAAATCGAAGGAGAGGAAGAAAGAGAGAGTTAAGGACCGCAAACAGATCCGAATCTCTCTTGCTCTCCTCCCCTCTCCTCTCCTCTCCTCTCCTCTCCTCTTGACTTTCTTTTGCAGACCCTTTAAGCCAACACCAACAAAGATACTTCAATGTCGATACAATGTTATGTTCAAACTAAATAATTGATTAAATAGTAATAACAAAATATAATCGAATTTCTTGAACAATTGCCGATGATGAAACCCCACCGGAAGGTCCTAAGGGACGACAGTTTTCTGCCAATGGGAATTCCATGAGTACAGCAGATGTCGAAGCCAAACTCAACCAAAGCAATATTCATGAAGCTGAATCTTCTTTACGCGAACGCTTGTCCCTCAATTCTGAGGGGTTTTTTTTATTACTGGTTTTGGTGATCTGGGAATTGGGAAAATTTGGGTTTTGATTTTTATTTTGTTTGGTTTTGAAGGAAGCGACGACTCTTGTGGGAAGATTAGAGTACCAGAGAGGAAATGTTGAAGCGGCACTTCGGTTATTGGATGGGATTGATCTGCAAGCTGCAATCCAAGGGCTGCAACCTTCCGTAATGACAATCCTTATTATAATTCTTCTTCTTCTAAATATTTCTTCTTCTTATGACAATGGTGTTGCTAATCGTGATTCGCAGAACCAAGCTGCCAAGCTCGTTCTTGAAGGGGTTTACTTGAAGGCCAAGTCGCTTCAAAAGCTAGGAAAATTTACCGGTATTGGAAAAAGATTCACATTTCGCCTTCCTTTTATGTTTGAACTTTGAATCTTAGAATGGAAAGAGCGCTACCTCTCTTCCTCTTTTTTTTCCCAGTCAAGAATACAAAGTTGAATGTGTTTTCATTGGTTTTGTAGAGGCTGCTAAAGATCGTACAAATGTGCTTGATGCTGTGGGGAAGATATTTCCTCAAGGGATATCTGATGCCCAAGTTGAGTGTGGATTGCAGGAGACGGTTAGTAAAGCGGTTTAGCTACTTCCGGAGCTTCTGAAGCAGGCTGGTAACTATCAAGAAGCAATGGCTACTTATAGACGTGTACTGCTCAATCCATGGAACTTAGACAATGAAAGTTGTGCGAGAATTCAGAAAGCATTTGCAGTTTTTCTCTTGCATAGTGGGTTGGAGGCTGGTCCTCCTAGCTTAGGTGCTCAAGCTAATGGTGCTTATGTACCCAAAAATAATTTGGAAGAGGCTATTCTGCTTTTGTTGGTTCTTATGCAAAAAATTCACCAGGGCGTTGTTCAGTGGGATCCTTCTGTTATGGATCACTTAATGTATGCACTTTCTTTATGCAGCCAAACTCATGCTTTATCAAAGCAACTTGAAAAGCTCAAGCCTGGAGTATTTCATCGTACAGAACGTTGGAATTTCTTAGCTCTTTGTTGCAGTGGTGCGGGGCAGAACAAACCTGCCCTGAATATATTGAGGAAGTCTCTGCATATAAACGAAAAACCTAACGATCTCACATCGTTATTGTTGGCTGCCAAGACCTGTAGTGAGGATCCATATCTTGCAGCTGAGGGTGTAGGATATGCACAGAGAGCAGTCGATAATGCAAAAGGGGTGGATGAACATCTGCAGGGTGTCTGTCTTCGTATGTTAGGTCTTTGTTTGGGAAAGCAAGCTAAAGTATCTCCCTCTGACTTTGAAAGGTCCCGTCTTCAGAATGGAGTGCTTAAATCTTTAGATTCAGCACTTTCCCTTGAGCAGGATAATCCTGATATAATCTTTGATTTGGGAGTTAATTATGCAGAGCAGCGAAATTTGAATACTGCTTTGCGTTTTGCAAAGAAGTACATTGATATAACTGGTGGTTCTGCATTAAAGGGTTGGAGACTGCTTGCTCTAATTTTGTCTGCTCAACAGCGATTTTCAGAGGCTGAGGTAGTTACTGATGCTGCATTGGATGAGACTGGCAAATGGGAGCAAGGACCACTGCTCAGGCTGAAAGCAAAATTGAAGGTCTCCCAGTCACAACCCATGGAAGCTATCGATACTTACCGTCACCTCCTTGCATTGGTTCAGGCCCAAAGAAAAGCACTTGGTCCTATGAAAACTGATTCTCAGGTTCAAATCAAATATTTTATTTCTTAATTTGCTTTAAGAAATAAAGTCTCTAATAATAATGTTTCTTTTGAATGTTTTAGGGTTGCTTTAACCACATTTGTCCCTAATGCAAATATGCAATACAGCACTAGTAGTACCATGTAGCATAGGTGTTACACTGCACTATTTTCCATAAAAATCTGAGCTCAGTGATTTACTTTTTGTAGCTTGAATGATGAAGCAAGGTTCTTATTTTAAGGAAAGAATATGCCTTATTATGACATCATTGAGCTTTAATTGTGTTACCAATTGAACACTATGTGGGCTCTGAGTTTCAAATATCATAGACTTGCATCAGGTTGTTAAATGTAAGCCCTCGCTTGAAACAATAGTGAAAATGAGTTCACATAATTGTCTAATGGAAGATGTTTTCTTATAGCAGATGCCAGAACGTATCCCTTTTAGACTTGTCAGGCAGTTGTGCGTGATATATGAGGGACAATGACATGGTTTGATAGAGGATACAAATATGCTAGTTGAGGGATTAATTTATGTGGGACTTTCTTTTACATTTTACAAGCTTGATTGTAATTTTTTCAGAAATTTAGGCTAGTTTTAAATTTAAATTTGTTTTTATCAGTATTTTATTTAATTTCTAAGCATTAGGTTTTAGTGTTATATTTGGTATTTGCAGGTCTTGTTAGCTTACAAATGCACTTCTTTTTTTAGTTTTGTTTAGGTTTTGGACTATGAACATTTTGAGATACTGATTATTAAGATTTTCTCCTCTATGGATTCATTTTGGCTTTTTGCCCTGATTCTGTGGGGTTTTCTTTCTCCTCTATTGATTCTTTATGGTATTCTCCCTTGATTCTTTGTTTTTTTTTCTTTCCGAGTTCTTCTGTTTCTTCCCTAATTTTCACTGTTACTTACCAATTGTTTTTCGGTTTTTCTGATTTTCCATCAACTTTTCTACTTTCTATCTCAGCCACCTACTGGTTCTACATCAAGGTTGTACAATTACGAAATTGCAATGCATTGTATGTCTAGCAAGCCTAGAAATGAGGATGGTTTACTTTTGTCCGATATATGAGACAAATTCCTATACTCAGAATTAAGTTCACTTAATTCTGGTTGCCTTACCAAAAGGGGGAGGGAATGACAATAGAGGATTGCGAGAAATTACCAGAAAGGCCTCTTCTTTTACTGATCTTATTGAAAAAAAATATGGATTTAAACAGAGCACAATTGGAAAAGCATGGGATCCAAACATAGCAATGTCATTAAATATGGATCCAATTAATGGGAAGAGGCTTAGTTTGTCACTTTTGATTTTAGTTGAAATGCTCTTTATCGGAATTTGGTGGCATTGCTCATCTCCTTCATGTCAAAATTTTGGGTTAGGCCTAGCCCTTGAGAGGCTTAGTTGTGTCGTATTGAGTGTTGTAAATATTTGATATTTTGGTTGCCAATTTGTCGTTGCTTCTAAATTAATCTTTATTATTTTTACTGATAGGTTGATGATAAAGTAAAAGAATTTGAAGTTTGGTACGGCCTTGCAACTCTGTACTCTAGTCTTTCACACTGGAAGGACGTAGAAGTATGTTTGCAAAAAGCCAGAGAAATGAAACAGTATTCTGCGGAATTGCTGCATACAGAAGGCAAGATTGGAAACATTGTTTTACTGAATGAACCTTCTTTTTTACCTCTACTTTCAACTTGTTAAGCTTATTATAGTTAATGAATTTGCTTGTCTATTTATTGGAATAGATCTATAAATTTAAGCAAACTAACAGCTCTCATTTAGTCCTAATAGATTTGATAAATATCATAAGCGATTTGGAAATGATTTATTAGGCTGAAATGTTCAGAAAAAATAGATAGAAAGAATGTAAAACTACAGCCTCTAATCAGGATGTTTCTTCAGAATTTTCACCAACCATTTAAAATGTGTCTTTTCTTCTACCAGGCAGAAAACTAATCCTCTTGACAGATGATGTCAGGAAAAAAATTTCTAGGTTAAGTAATGTTGGCCTTCTTTAGAGCTCAGGTAAATTAAAATAACCATATTAAATCCTTAGCAATTTAGGAAAGTTTCTTTATAGTTTGCAGTCTGCATGACATTGAATGGTGAAGGGTTTTAATTGCGTGGCTTACCCAAGCAAGATGGAATGCCTGTGAATTTCAGGCTTTGTAGGTAATTATCTTTTAAAGCACCCTTGATCCATATATACTTATTTTAATCCAAATTGTTAGCCGGCAGATTGAGCGTTTTCTTTTGGTCCAAGCACAATGGGCTTCATTTCTGATATTATGGAACAGAGTGGATATTGTGCAATGTTCATTCTCTGAATAGGATTTTGTTAATGGTTAACTGTATATATATATATATATATATATTTTTTAGTTTTAGTTTTATCAATGCTGTTTGTGTAGGAAATAAATTATTGTTTTTATTATTAAATTTGTTGTGGATTTTAGCAATAAAATGTTTATGAATTGGTTACATAAAATTTAAGAAAGGAACACGTCTTTAGAGTTTTAGCGAGAACCAAATGGGAGAAATTCCAGAATCCAGATATTATAATTGTATTAATAGTTTGTGTAACAATATTCCAGGTGTTATGCATGAAGAACGTGGAGAATTCCAACAAGCATTGTCTTCACATATGAATGCTGGTCTGCTAGACCCACATTTTGTACCGTCTAAGGTACGGATTGGTGCATTGTTGACCAAGATGGGGTCAATTGCATTGCCTGTGGCGAGAACTGTACTTTCGGATGCACTGAGGATCGAACCTACAAACCGTAAGGCTTGGTATTACTTAGGTATGGTACATAAGGATGATGGTCGCCTTGCTGAAGCCGTAGACTGCCTCCAGGCGGCATCGATGCTCGAAGGGTCGGACGCTGTTGAAAACTTCAGATCTATCCTTTGATCGGCGGCCATACCTTTCAGGTACTGGAATCCAATATATGCTTATTTACTCTAATATTTGCTGCAAAATCAATAAATGGAATGGTAACAGACATTTGCTTCCCCCTACATCTGTAATGGGCAGCCTCAGGCACGTTCCAGCGCACGGACCATGACACATACAGGGATGGCTCTTTTGCACAGACTTTCCTGTTTCTTTAGTCAATGCCATGGGTGCCACAAAAGAAGAGAGATCAAATGGAATTTGAAAGAAAAATGAGATGAAAAAGAAGAAAATAATATAGCGGCAGATGTTAAGAAATTATAGGAAATGTAAGGGGAGTTCTCAAATGATCCTCTAATGGTGTTTTACTTAGCATGCTTAATGACTATATTTATATAATTCAAAAGATTTGTGTACTTTACTTTAGAGATTCAAAGGATAAAGAGGGGGAAATTGATTGTTTCATTTATCCACTGTAATTTTTTATTTATTTATAATTGGTTGTTGGCGCCTTGCCTGACGGTAAAATTGTGCATCTTCCCCTTGTGAAAAAAATACCATATTTTTTTTATGAAGAAAATGGTGTAATTCTTTATTGGCCAACAAAGTAATTTTGTAATTCGTAAACTAAAATCATTTATGATTCAGAAATTGTATCCCCTAACAAATACATATTGGAGTTCATTTTCTTATATATAAAAATAGACAAGGACATTCTTTTTATGACCTTTAGTTTTTATAAAAATTCAATGTAGTCTCTAATTGCAGTCAATATAGTCGAAAGATAACCTGAAAAATCCAAACCAAAACCTTTCCAATTTAAAGAAACTAATATAATAAATCCAAACCAAATCTACAAATGCTAATTAAATATTTGAAGAATAAGAAATTAAAAAAAGTTGGCATGGAGGAAATAATAATGTCAGAGAACTGTGGAAAACATAATGCAATTATCCCTCATAAAACTTGGTACTCTCAGGTACCATAATAATGTCAAGTTACAGGGATTTCCTAATATAATTTACCACTGACAATAGATTTTGAACACACGACTTAACATAAAACAAACAAGCAGGTACAACATTCATTTTCAGTTCCCCAAATTCAGCCTCGATGTGCATTTTCCTTTAGCATTCAAGAGTCCCGTAGATGCACCTCCATTGCCGCAACTCGTACAACTCCTGTCTGCTAATGTAGTCAACGGCTATTTGTGGTGGCTAAGCCTCTGGCTTGGGTCGGATGGGCCGGATTCAGGCCTTCTTTCCCCATTTGTTGCACTTCAAGTGGGGATAGTATCTTGATATACCACACATTGTTCACAAATTCCCTGATTAACACAACATTGAACGGAAAAAAATAAGCCACCAAAACCAAGAGTTCACAAATTCCCTGATTATCACAAAACATCGATTGAATATATCGCTCCCGTATTTGTCTGAAATATGGTGAAATAACTATGAAGTAAACACTGTTATCCATCACCATTTAACAGTCACGCTATCACAGACAATTATTCAGAAATAAATGAAGGGTGGTTTGGAACTTACTGCCAAGGGTCATCACCAAGGAGAAGAATATCATTCTCCCTGTCAACAAATACAAGCTGCCAGCCTGATCTCTGAGGGTCCTCTAGTTGGCCTTCAAGACCAAACATTCGAGCGAGCTCACAGCGCAACCCATTATAGCTGCTGAACTTGGAAATATCCAATGAGCGCCCAAAGGACCCCGACTTGTGAACCTATCAACAAGAAAAAAGATAAAAAACCCAAGAGAATCACAAGCCATTAGAGAAACTAGACCTAATCCTGTACTTAGCTTTTGAACTTAATAGAAAATCTCACAATATCATTAATACACAACACTCCATTAACTACATGTTCCAGTGACTAAAATGAACCGGTTGATCAGCCAAAATAGGAAAACAATTGCTTTTATGAGCAACAGCGGCATACAAAGAGCTTGCCTTACTGAATATACAGTTGACAGATCAGATATCCATTAAAAGTGATCCACAAGTCCACATTGACATGCTTTGCCTAATCTAATGTGAGCTTTGCAGTGATTTATTAACAACCAGATAAGACAAATCCCACATATTTCATTATCTAAAAACAATCAAACGCATTTGCAAAGATAAAGAAAAGTAGCATCACCTTAACAAAGGTTCCAGTTGGAGGGTTTACTTGATCCACATATTCAGAAGACTGCAAGTAACCTGATTCATCAACACAACTTGAAGTAGTCATGTCTGAATTAAGAGGAAAATCTGTGCCAGAAGCACTTGTGAAATTGGAAGCAGCATATGGGAGAGACAATGAATCATTTTCATTTCCAATATTTTTCAGGTTTGCCATCCCATGCTGCAGCATAAGGGACGACGAATCAATGCTAACCCCAAACAGAAAATTGTTTTGTGGATCAGTTGAACCGGGGTAAGCAGAATACTCTCTTCCTGGAAATGGAGGCAATAAGTTAGAAAGTCCATTTGACTGTGCAGTTCCTAGCTGTTCAACCTGGGGTAGTACATAGTTAGCAGCTTCAGATGAAAGCTGTGGGTCAATAGGGACTGTCTTGGACAACAAAGCAGAAGAGATAATTGGGTTTGACCCATTCAAGCTGAGTAAATGGGAAGCTCCAGCATGGGATAATGAACCTAAGATACTTTGCATTGACGAAACGTTAGATGTGGCGAAAGAGATCCCAGGATGATCTGAAAATGTCTGCTGCTGGCATTGTGAAGCATCAGCTGGCAGAGATGAGGACTGGGCCTGGCTGACTGATACTTTAGGAAAAGCTGGGATTACATTAGAACTCTGATGTTGATCAGACATCTGTGGTGGTTGAAGTGTTTGTTGAGCCTGTTGCTGTTGTTGTTGTTGTTGTTGTTGACGCTGATCACTGTACGAATTGGAATGCTGCAGCGGTTGTTGCTGTTGGCGCTGATCATTGTACGAATTGGAACGCTGCAAAAGCTGAACCTGAGAAGCAGTCTGATTCTCCTGAAAACCCTGAAGAAAAGCATTTTCTGTTTGAGACTGCTGCAACATCTGCCTCTGAATTAGAGCAGAAAACCCACTGGATGTGCTCTGTGGTTGCTGGAATTGCAAGTGAGATTGAGAGCCTATTTTCGATGAATCAACTGTCCTCATTTCCTGAAATGCGGCAGCAGCCATTGCTTGGTAAAGATCAGATTGGACACCTGATATTGAAGAAGTATCAAGCCTTGGCTGCATCCAGGGTGAAACTCCAAAACCTTGGAAGTTTAAAGACTGAAGTCCTTGATCTCCAACCCCTCCTTGAAGCCACATCAGTTGGGAATTTATGTTCATATCACCATCTTTGAAAGCTGACAACAAACTAAACTCATTCAGAACAGAAAAGGAAAACTCTTATTTTCAGGTAAAGAAGAGGCCGTATAATTCCAAGCAAACTTGGCAAAGATTCCAGCATACCATTGAAAGAGGGTAGGGCAGACGGCCATGGTCGTTTCAGACGCATGGGGAAGGGTGACGAATACATGGGAAAGGTTGTTAATGGTTCAATCTCCCACAAGGACACTCTTGGCTGCTTCTCTCCTGCAGTGGATTCATCCCAGCCAACCTGGGATGTAAAGTAACTCTTTCATGTCAGATACTATCCAACACATGCATATTGAAGGGGTAAAAAGAAGGGAACAAATATAATATTGGGAACTAAAATCAAGCACACAGAAACTTCAAACAAACCTTAACGGAACGCCAATGCGAATTTGGCCAGCGAACAGGATCTAAGTCACTAATGCCAGTTATCGTACCCATATATCTGATAAAACACCCAAATTAACAACAATTGACTTGGCTTGCAAATGATACTACAGTCAATTGACTGATAGAAATAAAAGTTTTTACTTAAGGAAAATAAGAAGCATAGTTGTGGTCTTGTGGAAGGAAACGCCATAAAATTTAAGCAATTCTCAGATGTAAGAAAACATTTAGAGAATTAATACCCACCGGCGGACACTTGACTCTTCTGTCTCAAATAGCATTCTAAATCGCATGCCTACAGAAACCCGCGTGTAATAGACTGCTTTAACATATTTGGAAAGAGGAATGACAAACTCTGAAGGACTAGCCCTGTAATCAAGCCACCATAAATGAACAAGATCTCAAGTTGGAATAGCATCAGTATTTTTTAATTAGTATTAAGTAGCTGACCTTGGGTTATAAAAGATAGTGAAACGGCTATTGGTTGCAGCTGCATGAGCTGCAGCAGCAAGAAGACCGATGTGCATGCTATCGCTTGATAAAACCGAAGAAGGCATCACAGTCTGAGGACGATTTGCTCTGCGGATACCCAGCAATAATTGATTCTTCTCATTCCTGAAAGAAAACATGTAAAAATAATAATAAAACAAGGATAATATACTGATTGGCAAGCTCACTTATCAGTAGCATGCCGAGAAAAAAGCAGTAGAACTCAAAAACCAGACTAAACCAAGCTCAACCCAACCCAATTTGACCAAGAGATGAAGAGAAGTCACCTGAATGATGCAAACTAAATCGGTTTGACTTCAAAACTAAACAATGTAGATCAATATGAGCCAAACCCGAATGATAAACCCAAACGAAAATTGACCCTAGTTTTCCCAATCAAAGGCAACTGAACCCACCCAACTGCCACCTCTGCTACAAACAAGGAGGATGCACACCAGTAGGTTCTTTGCTTTAGAAATGAAAAATGGAATTGAATACTTTATTGTAGAAGATATATTCATATACCGGAAAGTTGCAGTTCACAAAAAAATTGCTGCCAAAGTCTAAGCAGGATGATTTCATTATATTATTTCAAACCACATCACAGATTTGACAGCTATTATCAGGATACGTCTCCAGCCAATCACAGAGAAAGGGTACTATGATTACAAACAAAGTAATCATAAATTATGCATGGAAGACAGAAAATCCAATTTACCATATAAAAAGGACCGAGTCACCAGCAACAAGTCTCTTTGCACTAACAAAAACACTCCACCCAGTCGTAAGAAGATGCCTTTTTGGCTGGCCTGCATATGAGAGAATACATACATTGATTAGACTCATTAGAGGTTTTCCACACCCATTGAAATCCAAAACCCTTTTATCATACAAGAAAGCACATATGTAGTTCTTATAGAAATACTACCAGATAAATTGACCATCATTAGCCAATAGTTAAGCTTTCATTAACTGTTTTCAACAAAAGAACCTTACAGCTAATTGATCTTCACAACCCCCTCACAATTTCTAAGCGAGAAAAAGGACTTAAGCACATCAAAAGGGCAACATGAAGGACTTAAAGATAATTGACCTTTCTAAATTGCCAAAAATATTTGTTATTCCTGTCAGACAAACACATACACCGCATTTAAAGAATATATCAAAAAATAAGGAGCACTTTGGTCATTGTATTTCAGCATTTGTTCACA